TTCTACATTTTAAATAAAATACAGCTAGATGATGTTTACCATAAAGGAAAACATCCAGCAAAAAATATATTTGTACGGGTGTTCTCTGCAGTTTATATGGATATAGGTTATTTTAAAGTTTGTCTGCAGTTTCCGATTTTTTTTTATTTATTACCGGTATATTTGTTTAGAGATTCAACTAGTTAAAAGACAGAACCATATGCACATAATATCCCCAACTTCACAGACAAAGTACATGTCCCAGCATAGTAACAAAGCAGATAGAACTCCCCCCTAAAGACAGAAAAGGGACTTGGCACTCCCCCCTAAAGACAGAAAAGGGACTTGGCACAGAGGGCTTAGCAGGGGTCTGGTGCTGGAGGTGGCCGTGGCTGCCCCATATAAATAGAGATAGAAAAGCAGAAATAGAGACAGTAAGCTGTAGCTCGCGGTATACTGAGCTTAGGGTGACGGGAGGACGCTAGTTTGTGTCCTCCCGTTATCCTTAGGAGAACTATGGGGAAAAGCCTTAACCCCATAGTTCTCCTTTAACTCTTTTGTAGTCTCAATGACTAAGTAATATGCTTGTAACTGAAACATACAATGAGATCAGGAAACCTCATAAACCTAACTTATTTATATGGTTTGCTTCTGTGAGCTTTGCAGAAATATTGCCTTCAGGGAAATGCTTCACTATCACATCCCAAAAAATGTGACCAGGGGGGGCGTGGCTTACGCATGGCCATGGACGGACGCGTGTAGAGAGAGCTCCGGCTGTGCACCCGGGAATAATCGCCAGGAACTCTACATCTCGCCCCGTACACCTCCGCCATGGGCAGGTCGGGCAAGAAGGGAGGTCGGCAGCCTGCCAGGCCCTCTTCGTCAGCTGTCGGACCGAAGATCGGGGCCTTCTTCAAGAACTCGGGCCTACTCGCGACCCAGTCGCCGTCAGACCGTGCGGTGCGGGAAACGTGGCGGGCTCAGAGGCCTCCTCGCCGGCTCAGCCTACCTATCAGAGGGACTCGGATTCCTCTGTGCCGGAGGAGGACGGCGCTTCCCTCAGGAGGTGATGAGATGTTTCAGCGCTACTTCGCGCTCCTGCCCACGAAGATCGAACTGGAGGGCCTGTTCTCCCGCCTGGAGGCCTCACACAGCCGCGACATGTCGGAACTCAGGGAGGGCCTGGCTGGCTTTGGCCAAAGGCTGGAAGCTGTTGAGACGCAGGCTGCAGCTGTCTCCCAATCCGTCCTCCAGCTGCAAGATGAGGTGAGCAAACACCATCTACTCATCCAGCACTTAAGCCTGCAGATGGATGACCAGGAAGACAGACATCGCCGCAATAACATTAGGCTGCGCGGCATCCCTGAGGCCACAGGCCCGGCGGACCTTAAAGCTACAGTGCTGGGCGTCTTCAATATGATATTGGGCAACCCCCCTACCCACGCCATTGAATTGGATCGGGTGCATAGAGTGCCAGGGTTTCGTAATCCCTCCCAACAGCAGCCTAGGGATGTCCTGTGCAGAGTGCACTTTTTCCAGCAAAAGGAGGCCATTCTGCTGAAGGCCCGCGAAAAAGGTCCGCTGGACTTTGATGGGGCTCAGATCACGCTCTTTCCGGACCTGTCCCGCAACACGCTGACGAGACGCAGAGCTCTCCGGCCGATTTATAATGGCACCAGACAGGGCTGCCCCCTTTCCCCCTTGCTCTATATCTTGGTGATGGAACACTTAGCCAATGCAATCAGGGGCAACGACTCCGTCCGGGGACTTCAGATAGGTGACCAGGTACATAAACTTGGTCTCTATACGGACGACTTGCTCCTGTACCTTTCGAACCCTATCGTGGGCGTTCCCTCTCTGATGGAGGAATTCAAGCTTTTTGGTCGCCTGTCTAACTATACGGTGAACTTGCAGAAATGTGAACTATTCAATGTTTCTCTGCCACGAGCTGAGGCGGATTGTGTGAATGGCTCCTTTCCCTTCACGCTGAAATCGGACTATATGACTTACTTGGGCGTCCGCATTCCGGCGGACCTAGCGGAACTCTATTCCTTAAACTTGTGGTGTTATCTGTCCATTGTTCTGTTTGTGTTGCAAGGCAGCTCTGACTGGGGAATGGCCCATGATGCGTAGGGCACCAGAATCTTGCAGGGCTTCCCTTGATCATCTTAATGTTGGAGACTCGAGTCTGACTCAACAGTGTTGTCCTCCTTAAAGGGAAGAGCTTAAGCAGTCCGGAACCCCTACACGGGGACAAGACCTTGAGCGGAGGTACGGCTTATGTCTGGGCACATTGTCATATACGTTTGAGGTATTTGTTATTGTCTTCAGCTCTGCACTATTACTAAGATTGCTCATCGGATGCTGCCTTTGCATGTTGTTCACTCTGTATGCTGTTTATTTTGGTATTTGTGAAAATTTAATAAACACTATTTCTGCAAAAAAAAAAAAAAATGTGACCAGAACTGCAAATCTATGCATCTCATGACTTAGCCAAGTGCTGATTTTTATGCCTTTGAGACAAAAACATGCTGTGGAAACAAATAGGAACCAAAAGGCGGGTTAGCTTTCTTCCCTCACAGACTGTCAAACTAGCGCTTCTAGTGCTAAACGTTAATTCAAATCACGAAAATAGCATTTATGCTTTAGATGTAAATGTGATTTCAAATGTTTCCTTTACTTTAAATCTGCAGCTATTTATCAAATAACACCTAGTGATCCTAGCATAGAAGTCCTTGTTAGGACCTTCCTGTTATGAGGTGACAACGTTTGGACCCTCTCTCCCCATTATGCTTCTGTATTGTCACCCTGTCACATGAGCTTTTCACAAGGACTACAAGTGGCCCGTTCAATACACATGACACTATCATGGTCTGCTGTCGTCGCCCGCTCTGAGAAATTCCATGCAACCATAGCTGGAGATCAGCTAATTTGAGATGCACGAAGAGTAAAAAAGAAAAAAGAAAAAAAAAAAAAAAGCTAAGTGTATTTCATTCAGTTAGCGTTTACATTTATTTTAAATACTGTACAGCAAAACCACGATTCCCACTTTCTCCTCCAGGCACACATTTTCTACATACATACAGGAATATTTATTACTATTTGCCTATTATTCCCAACAAATGTCAGACATACATTTGCAGTCCCCAAAGGGTAAAAAAACATTTATTTTAAAAAGGTGTTGCCCCAGTCTCCATATTCTTGAGCACTAGCAGGGAATGCCAAAGACTTCTAGCCGACAGTTCTCAAGGAAGACTGGGACCAGTCAGTATAAAATATTGCTGGAGGGGTCTGGTCATACTCCCTCATCTGCCTTAATAGGTAGAACAAAACATGCTTAGGAGATTTTAGAGTGCTTATTTACTAGGGATGCACCAATACCACTTTAAGACCGAGTACGAGTACCGATACAAGTACTAGCAGATACCAATTACTGATACTTTTTCTTAAAGGGACGGGTCACAATTTTTCTAAAGCAATACAAACTAATGCTTTAAGGTCACTTTCTTAATATTATGAATCATGAGATGACGAGGGAGCATGATGCCGGCCAATCAGAATGCCGGGCGCTGCATCATTACACGGATTTGCTAGCTTCCTGACCAATCGGGAAGCCGGGCAGGGCGTCATTGCACGCTATCCGGCTTCCACAAGTGACGAGAGAGCATGGAGCCGTTTCTTGGCCAATCAGGAAACTGGGCAGCGTGTAATGATGCGCTGCCCGGCTTCCTGATACAGGAAGTACTCGTGCTAGGTATCGGAGCATTTGGGCGAGTACTAGTACTCACCCAAATACTTGGTATCGGCACCGATACTAGTATCGGTGCATCCCTATTATTTACACATCACTCCTAAAAACATTCAGGTAATAGATCGTGCCTTAACCACGCTCCCAAGTCTAAAGTCAGATTTCAACAGAACAGTTGACACAAATGAAGGCAGATACCTCAAAATTGACATTTTAAGATGCATAGCGGTATACATACAATTAAACCTATTTTTCACAATGATTTTACTCTGTCATTCTGCACCACTATAAAAGTCTAGGTGTCCTTTTCACTCTTTCTACTGCAACATCTATTAATAAAACATTCCAGGCTCAGATGTAACGAACATATAAAACACTAGAAGATGCTGTGGAAAAGCAGATATTTGTTGGCACTGATCAGAAACCTCAATAATGTCAGGAGGGTTTACACCAAAGTCAATGCAGTCTGAGGGCATATTCACACCAGTTCTGTCGGGATACGTTTTTCAACAGAAGGGCACCGAAAAATGAATGAGGCTAGTTCACACCACTGCATTTAGGTGTGCTAAAAAAAGTACAAGATGCACTATTTTTTTTCTGCACTACGTAACGCAACGGATCCAGTGTGAACTAGCCTCATTCACACCTATTCGTTTTTCCGTGCCCTTCTGTTAGCATCTGTTGAAAATGGATCACAATGATTGGCTGGCGTCATGCTCCCTCGTCATCTCATGAATCATAATATTAAGAAAGTGACCTTAAAGCATTAGTTTGTATTGCTTTAGAAAAAATGTGACCCGTCCCTTTAAGAAAAAGTATCACTGGAAGGAAATTGGAAGGTACACTTGTAAGTCAACGGACTTGCAATTTCTTTCTGATTTTGGTGTCTCTGGAATAGACCCTTACAGAACACAAACATAAGGAAGTGACAATGTAATCACCAAGAGTCTCTTTTTTTCTAAATATCACAGACTAAGATTAAATTATGTACATCCATTTCTTAAAAACAAATAGGATCGCTGAAGTACCCTGTCAAGGCACTCCATTATTGTATAGGAGATAGAAGAAAGACACTAAGTAATGACTAATGCAATATCTGTGCCAATTCTTTGTTCACACATCTGGATTACTGATCTCAGGTATTTCCACTCATAGAACTAAATCTGTGCTTCTAAGTCACAGTTGCAACCCTCAGAGGTGACGTGGATCCTTATGATTGAGAATACACAAGAAAAAACAAAACTGCATCATTCTGATGCAAACAAGCACCTACCGAAACTCATTCAAGGCTTCCACAATCTTATTGTATGCTAAGCTTCTCTGGCTGGCATCTGCGGATCTGCGGCTCATTTTCATTGCCTTTAAGGAAAAATGAATCAATTATTTTTGAAAACTGGAATACACAAATTCATACATGTGGAATAAGCACTAATTCATAAGGAATAGGGCTAGATTTCAGTTATAAGCCCAACAGGCCAGTGTCTTCTAAAAGCCTGTTTCAAAAGTACCCTTTTAGTCTTTGAGATTTTTCCCCTTGCTTATTGTCCTGGTAGAAGGAGTCACTTGGACGGGAAGTGAAGGAGGAGCTCAGTCCATGAGGCCAAATTACAAACCCAGGCCTGGCTAGTGTTGGCATGTTAAATATTACTAAATGCAACAAAATATTTTCATTTGATGAACGCTGATATTATTATACTTGGAAACAAGAAAGCATGAGGTCTCTAGACATTTCATAATTTCTCTAACAATGTGGCCTTAATACAGTTTATTTTAGGAACAGCTTCCAAAAAGTGCCCGTATTCCATATCAGCATACTAAAGTACTGGTCCTTTAATAAATACTAGTCAGAATAGAAATGAATTACCAAACTCTGGGTTTCTTGTTCATAGGTATTTTGTGATGACAAGTTTTAGAAGACTTTCCTTTTTTAAATGTCATCCCATACATACAAAGGCAAGGTTTAAATGGTACCTGCTCTATGGCACTCTTCAACTTGTTCATGTGACTCTCAAAGAGAGGAAAGTGAGAAAAGAAGAACTCATGGAATTTTCCATTTTCCTCCTCATCAGCTGACAAAGAGAAAATTACGCCTATGGCAATCTTCTTTTTTCGCGCAACGCCCAAGTTTGGCCCACAGCTTTCATCTGACATGTTAAAGCTTTCCTCTACTGACCTGTAAAGAGGAACATTTTAGATTTATGCCTATAACCATTTGCATAAATAAAAAGTGAGCACTATACATAAACATTTTACATCTAGGAAACTATTCAAAACAGATCTGTTTTATGTATAGTATAATAGGGATCCAGTGATGAAGGGCTTGGTTTTCAACTTATGCAAAACAAATTTACTCACCTCTTACAAAAAATGAAGAGGCTGATGTATAATGCGTTCACACAACATTAAGCTGTGCGAACAACATTCGCAGCGCTTTGCTGGCACTAGATGAAGCCAAGTAGCATAGGAATTTACTATTCTCCTTGGCTCCATCTAGTGCCAGAAATGCAGTGCAAACTTGCTATAAAATCAGCCCATAAATTGTTTTCTGCATGTGCTTAAACTGGAATGTCCAGGGGGCACTTTTCTGAAAAGTGATACATGTCTTACAGATGCAGGCACCTAACAGCTATGTCATAATATCTATACTAAGGAGAAGAAAAAAAAAGTGGCTGCCTTTGCTGACCTTCTCAAGATGTCATGAACCTGACAGTCTGTAACTTTAAAACTATGACTCACGGATTAAGAACAAGTATATAGTAAGTGAAGTCAGAACTCTTAGCCAGCATACTTGTTACAAGCCAATAATGAAAAAGTATTGAAGAAGCTGGATGATCATGACCATCAGGAACGATCATTTTCATAGAAACAGGTCAGCAAAGGCAGCCTACCTAACTATCTCAGTACATGCTTGTTTCAAGAGAAGTATAGACACCTTCTAAGGGAAGACAGTGTGCTTAATACAGGAAGCAGTGCATTTTTGTTTTTTACCATCGAGGAAATACGCCATTTTCCAAGCTTGTAGTTTGGCTACGACGCCAGCGTCGCTGGTAGCTGCTGGCACAGCTGCTGTTAAGTGATGAACTTGGAGAAGGGAAAGGGGTGATCAGAAGACTGCTGAGAGACGCTGTGGATAGTGAAAATGCATTCCGATCATTTTAATGCTAAAAAAATGCATTGAATTATACATGAAAAACAGGATACAAAAAAAAAGGCTCACCAGATCTTGCTATTCCACTGTCTCGGTCATCATTAAACCCCCGGCCTGGCATGTCCATTGGATTGCTATGTACTGGAAAAAAAACTAAACAGGTAAGTCATATAAAACCAATGCAAGCACTAGGGAGATAATCTGTCAGCCCTCTAATTTACCTTAAGTAACTAAAGTGAACTAAAATTGAAGATAATGTCTAGTGAGAGATTTTGGTAACCAAGTGTAGCAGTCATGCAAACCCATCACCAAAAGCCACAGCTCAGCTGAACAAGACTATACCTTACATCAGTCCAAATAAATAGTGGTATATATTAAATCGCACTAGTTCCAAGGAATTATATTGGAATATGTTATCACCAAAATTTCAGTGTAATGTTTTTTATGCCACGTTTGTGATTTTGGTATGATAAAATTGCGATCCAATTGTTTTTGTACATGTACGACATTGTAATAGTTAACATTACTACATTATGTAATCGTGTATGTACAGGCCAAAACAATTCACCAAAAACTGTTCGAGCAACAACCACAGTCACCGAATATTACACATATAAATATAAGCATTTCCGCTTGTTCATTTTCCATTTACAGAAACTTGAAGGTGACAGTGAAAAGGCTTTATAATGGAAAAAGTAATTCTAATTATCTTTGAACTATAATGTTACCATATACTCTATCTTATCAGTATTGAATGAGTTAAGAATTATCATTCACTATATATTCTTTATAACTGTAGATATTATGTAGATCTGAAAACGCAGCAATTTTACAAAAATGACAACTTTGTGGAAAGGCAGCTAGTCAATTTATAGGCTTAATTCTGTTCAGCCGGCTTTTACACACCTGGATTGACAGGTCATGTGCTTGTGAAGGAATCCAGAAATCGCAACTTTGAAAATGGACAGAGGCATGCAAAGGTATGTTGAAAAGTGAGTCAGCTGTGGAAATAAGGTCTTCCCTTTCCTCTTACCCACAATGTATTCTTTGCAACCTTAAAGCGGTTGTAAACTGAACTTCTATTTTCTGATATGTTTGGCAGTATGCTTTACTGTTTTCTAAACCAACTCTCATTTTTTTTTACTTGGAGATCCTGTCAGTACCAGCACTTCCTAAAGCAGACAGCCCAACAGCCAAGCGAAGGATTGAGCAGGGCAGGCTGATGACACTTCTTGTAATAACAAAGCAGAGGCTTAGCGAAGTCAATCTGCAACAGGAAATGCCATTACTGGCAGGATCTCCAGGTAAGAAACTCTGCAACAGATCTACAACAATTATTTGCTTAAACAGAACCTGTCACCAACTTTAAAAAGAATCCAGGTAAAAGCACAGAAAAATTAATCTTAAAGTGCTTACTGCCAGCATTTTCCCTTCACTAAATTATTTTTTTTTAACTTGCAATGAGTCTCTGACCTTGCAAGAAAAATGACTAGTCAAAGACAGCGCCCTCCCTCCTTGCATATCTTAGGCCTCTCCGCTTTTGAAAGGAATTCTTTCTGTACTGACCCTGCATTACTGCCTGTTCCCTTACCTCCCTACATAAACTTAAGCAGGAGTGAAGGGGAATACTATATAGTGCCACTTGTGACAGTCCTGAGTCTGTTGGGGCTGGTGACATCACATCCAAGATGGCGGCACTCAGCAACAGTTCTAGGGCTTTTGGGTGTCTACCAAATGGAGGCTTTTACAGGTAAATTAAATGCATGAAATTCATTACATGAACATATAATCCTATGAGAACATTTTTTTTGAATGAATTTTTTAGCGACAAGGCCTCTTTAGAAAACAGACTGAAAAATAGATTTAAAGTTTACATACACTTAAAGTTTTTTTTTTTTGTTTTTTTTTAGTAGGAGTCATCATCTACAAAAATGTTCAGAATTTGGGATCAAAGGATGAACAATTTAAGACTGCAGTACTTTGACTGGTACACGTGAAACCGCTCTTAAACTATGTCTGCTAACAAATGGCAAAACACATCATAAACCTCCATATATACATATTTAAATCTCCATGTGATAGGATATTTTGGAGACAGCAGTGTGGGAAAAACAGGAACAGGCGCAAAATGAAATTGTTGTCCTTACTGACCAACCAGGGGTTCACAGTCATTTGCAAGCATGTGACAGAAAAATTACAGCTACAATATTATTTCCAACCCAAATACTCTTGCCTTCACTTCTAAATTCACATTTGGAACCCTAAACTTGAACAGCTACGGCTGACTATAAGAACTTCATCTAGTAGCGCTGGTGCTATACTGGCAGTTTCATTATTTTAGAACCGTATGTCTCTCACCCATATAGGTACGTATTATCTACAACACAAGAGATCCAAGTCACCTAAACTATGCTAACAGACTTTTTTTGTTTTAATCCTTATTTCCACAGTGGAGGCCAAAATGAGAGCATGCAATGGGACACAGGAGCTACACTGCACCTCACACAGCACACCTGCAAAGAAAGAAGCACTCCGGATGAGGCGGAGAGGGCCCTGCTCAGAGAACGCCCGCCTGGGGCTGCAGAGCTGAGACAGACCTAAATGTTCAAATGCAGAATACATACGGAAGAGAATACAATTAACAAGGAAATATAACAGCATGGGGAATAAATTAAAAAGGTACAGGGGAAAAACATAGATTATGGGCAGTCATTCAGATTACAGTGGAACTCCAGGCAACCTGCTAAATACATAGTTGTAATACATAAACGGCTTTGCAGCTTTTTGCGTCACATGCCTGTTCATTGGACTGTGAATCAGTAGTGTGATAGCAGGACGGTGCACAGAAGAAACAAGAAATAGTGGTGTCACCTGCCTGGTTATGTAGAGTGGCAGGGGTATGTGGACCACAAGACTGGCTGAACAATTTCAAGACCAGACAAGATAAAACTGTATTTGAACTCTATAATTTAGCAGTTTGCCCAAAGATCTGCTTTACCATGCAAGTGAGCACATACTTTACTGCTACATAAAACACAGAGGAGCTAATTTATGAAAATTGGGGTAGGGAAAATAAAGCTGCAACCCAAAGCAGCCACATTCCTTCTTTCCCATTGTCACTACGGATGAAAGCTGAAACTTGAATTTTTGCTAAGAGCAATAGCTTTATTGTCCTTTGCACTCGTTTTCGTAAATCAAAGAAAATGTGGAAGCAGGAAGATTATAAAAGTAGACATTCACAAAGCTTTAATAAAAGCATAAGGGTCTTTATTTTCACCCATGTGACTGATATTTGTTTTGTTTTTTTTAAAATGAGGGTCTTTATCCTGGTGTGTTAGCTTGGTGAATTAAGCTCAATGCTCCATATTCTGCAAAATGACAGGTCAGCTTTAAAGCGACACTAAACTCAGGAGTTAACAACGCATTCAACTACCTTAACTACTAACAAAAATATAGCTTGTGTATCACTCGGGTGTAGATCTTCAAATCATCTCTGAATTGGTGCCGACACTGTCGTGCCTTCTGGAGGGTGGCTACTTTTATTGGCCATGGTCCCTGTGTGTGTTGTAAAGTAGCCACCGTTCCAAGCTCACTCACATGATAGACTTCAATACAAATTAGTAAACTATACCCGAGATTGTAGTCCATCCTGGGAGCAAGCTTGAAGTGTTGACTACGTTACAGCACACACAGGGACCATGGGGAACAAAAGTAGCCACCATCCAGAAGGCAGGACAGTGTCAGCATGAATTCAGAGATGATTCAGGGATCTACAGCCGAGTGTTACACAAATGAGATACATTTTGGTTAATAGCTAGTGAACTTGAATGCAGTTTTAAAATTTAGCACCTGAGTTTAGTGTTACTTTAAATAATTAAAAAATGTGACATGGGCAAAATACACAGTCTGGATGCACTTTCAAGTTGGAAGGATCTTGTTAGGTAAATATGCTCACATTTGTGGATTCAGTATGTGGGTGCTACTATTTCCTAGAGGAGTGTAAGCTAAACTCCAGGCATATATTTAGCAAACACCATTTAATGTAGTTATGTATTCAATAAAAAATTATTTTATTATTTTTTTACATACAACTAGTGTAGTAACACTAAGGGCTTATTCACACCAGCAGCGAACGTAGGCCCAGTACAGTGCTGATGTGCTCGATCGAGACATTGCACTTTTTTTTTTATGCGGTGGTATGAACTGTTCACACCTGTGACAAGGCAAACTGCAACAACTTGGACATCACTTTGATGTATACATAATAAGCGTTATAATGACAAGCACTATGCAAAGCAATACATTAAGTGCTCCTTCACACCAGATGTATTCAGGCTGCTCTGGGCATTTTTTCCAGTGCAGCCTGAACACATCGTGTGTGAACGGGCCCTTAAAGGAGAACTATGAGATGAGTGATTTCCACTCACCTCATAGTTCTAGCCGACCTGTGACAATGAGACTGTCACAGGTCGGCTCAGTAGATCGGGAGGTGAGCGAACAGATACCGGCGTTCGCTCACCTCTCGTTCCTGTCACGGCTCTCTGCTGTCACTCACGAAGCTGGGCGGATCTCGACATCGATGTCGGGATCCGCTCCGGCGTCTCAGTATACCGCGAGCTGTAGCTCGCGGTATACTGAGCCTAGGGTGACGGGAGGACGCTAGTTTGTGTCCTCCCGTTACCCTAAGGAGAACTATGGGGAAAAGCCCTGACCTCATAGTTCTTCTTTAATGCTTTGCACAGTGCTTGTCAGTATAATGCTTATTATGTATACAAGACTGTGCTGTCCAAGTCCAACCTGTAGGCTGACTGAGAAGTGACCAACAATGCAGATGGGCGAGTATCATTACCATGAATTCGGGGGGAAGCTGAACATGCACATAGAGATTGCTGGTAGGACATATACCGTAAATGGCCTATTTTATTGATTTTGAGGTGAAGATTTTTGATTAAGAGTTCTACTTTAACAAATCCTGAAAGATGCTTCAACCGAGTTCTGCTTTCCCAATGTTGACTGTAAAATTGAATGAAAAGAAAGCACCCTTTTGATACTTAGCACCTTTACCAATTCAAAATTATTTTGAATGTTTGTGTAACACAAGCAAAAGTTCCTGGAGGTACAAAACATATCACTATTACAGTGTGACAATAATAAACATTGTGCTCACTCACATGATTTTAATAATTTGCAAAGAGCTAATCAAGTAGTAACCAATAGCAATCCGATATAACGTTTATCCATAGAATCAGACTATTGAAAAACATGACTAATGGTTGCCACAGGATACTGCACTCTGCACATTATTCTTTGTCTTAAATAAGACAACTACTAGTAATCTGCTGAATTGAATGACCAACCCGGATAGAATTAAGTGCATCCATATGCTTTCAAAAAGCTTTATTTATGCAACGGTACACACATCAATAAATGTGTGTTGAATCAGTAACTTGAAATCAGAGAGAGATGAAAGCAAAACAGAGATGCATATTGAATTTACAAGGATGTAATATACACAGTAAACAAATATAACTTACATTATAGCAAACAATATGTTTTCCCAGTGATAATTATTATGCTTTCTAAAGGCTTATCCTGCGTTTGTGAAAATAAGCTATATTTCTTTTAAAACCTAGCAAACAGAGTGCTCTAGAAAGTATTCCATGTATAATAAGGCTACATAAATACAAACTGTAAAAGAGGGCACACTTTGGAAGTAAACAGAAAGGGTAGCAGACTTGAAGCATATATCAAGGGGGAAACCATTATAAATGGTTTGACATGTTTTGTTTTACTATATGTATACAACCTTTGTCATATTTGTAAAACAATGGGTTCCCAAAGCACTGTGTGTTTGCTAAAGAGTCAGGACAGCAGAAATAGCTCTTTTCAGACACAGTTGTCTCTTATTGAATGTTTGTACTGATAAGTCCAGGGTGTACAACCTGTGGGTCGAAGGAAAAATTTGTGGCACTGGTAGGAGACTCTTCCCATTTTTGCATATTACTATAGGAACTATTAACTGCTGTTATTGTGGTAAGTGTTCTCCCTGGAAATGTTTTAAGCTGGGTGGGATAAGAGAATAGCTGGGTGGTCGATCTTGCCAATAACGCTTCCTGTCCTCACTCACATTACTGTATCTATAGAGAAGCAGCTTTGTTGCCCAAAGGACAGAAAATGTGTTCAGACTACAGGACACCTCCCTTCTCTTGTTCATAACAAAAAGAGTGTTCTGTGGTCCACACAGAGAACTGAAAAAAATGCTGATACAGATAGGCTTGCAGCAGAAGCAGAGAGCACAGGAAGTTTGGAATCTGCTAGCTAAATTTACCAACAAACTACTATAACAGAATAGGATTTCAGATCTTTTCAAAAGGTTTGTGTTCTCTGCAGGGAAAAGGAGAAAGCCAGTATGCACAGCCTCTTAATATATAGAGATACAGAGAGCAAATATATATAGATATCTATATATATCTATCTATCTATCTATATAGATAGATAGACATATATATAAACATATACACCTTTTCCTCAATAAAGATTGTGCATAGGACGAAAACACAATCACCAAAACATTAGAGCTATTTTCTAACAAAATATACATTAGTCCAAGAAAATTGTGCTGCTGCAACCAGTCATGTTTGCTCTGTTTCTATTTGGGTCTAAAAACTTTTTTTTTTTTAATTCTAAAATCTGAATGGTTGGCATGGGCAGGACCATCACGGTCATTTGAACCAGTGTGAATTTAAAAAAAAATTAAATTGCCACCAATGAAAATACATCCAGCTTTGGCAACATGAGCTACTGCAATACCACAGTCATCCAGTAGGGAGATCTGTGTGGCAGACTCCTTCTGGAAGGGGACCATATGTGGAAGACCCTCTCTCAATTCAACAGCTTTCCCACTCAACTACCACATTTAGAAAAAAATAAAGTAGACATGACTTGTCCAAATATGGACCGTTCCTTTAATGTAGGCCTGCCATGCAAAAACACAGGAGCTGCCAATGATGACCCACTTCTTATGAGGCTCCTTGGCTCTTGTCCTTTAAAACTTTTCTGATTTAGTTACCTGGAACAAGTATGTAAATCAGGAAAAAGTCTAATAAAAGTCAGGTGTCTTTATGTGCATATATTTGTCCCAGTTCAAGACCATCAGAATGGCAGCCAAGCAACTAGTATTTTAGGTTAACAATGACAACTAGCATGGTTCTCTCATAACAAGTCAGTATGAAGTGTTTGACTTTAACTCACAAGTATGTAAACATGAACATTAGATAACATTTATCTACATATTATTACCTATGTTTCCAAGGAGACCATTCATAATGCTGCCGTTCTCAGCTTTTACTGTGTTGTTGTCATGGCTTATGTACTCAAGGCTGTCTTGTAATCTGTAGTTAAAAACACATGAAACATTTTTTTAAATACTTTCAAGGTGACACCCACAGACGTGTCCACAGTGCTGGCTTTTGAGGTTAAAAACAGTCATCTTGCCTGCTGATATGCTGAAGAGGCATGTTTGATCCCGCAACTTCACTGAGCTACGTTCTGTACACTTTCACATCACACTTACCTTTAATGGTTTATATAAAGGCAAAAAATTATGTACAGAGAGTAGTTTTTTGTAACAGCCAATCAATAAACATTCTGCAATGTTCTGAGTGCTCAAAAGTGATGAATGCTTAAATATGATTGGTTGCTCTGGGTTTCCTGCAAACTACTACTACGTGTTAAATACACCTGACAACCTGAAAAATGACCATAGATACTGTGGCATACTACCTGTTTTGCTTTCTCTTAACAGACAAAAGCAGGGAAAAGTCTGATAGTAAAATTGCTGTGGAGATGAAAGCTTGAATCTGTGCCAGTGATACCACACTGGCCTTCACAATAGATAATGACATAATGCAGCAGCTGTTCTGCTCAAACCGAACAGTCCAGCAGAGCTAAACTCCTACAATTTTGTTCACAACGTATATAGAATTACTATGGCTTCTATTAACCAAGATGCTCCAAGCTGGCCTGTGAAAGAAAAAACAAACTCACGTGTTAAGGCTTCCATAGATGCTGCTGCCAGTCCGGGCAGTGAACACTTTGCTCAGCATCAGCTGAGGAGGTGAGCTAAACAAAAGACAATGGACATTAAACTGGCTGTTCAAAATGTTTTAACATACTGGAGCAATAATAAACTGGACGGATCGTTTTCTTCTAAAGTACCGGCAATTAAAGTAGCGTACAGAATATAAATATATATTCATTTTTTCCACAAAGAAGTGAGCATAATGGCTTTATATACATGAACTATGGATGCTAGTTTACTTATTATGGTAGATGTAGAGACAGGCCAAGGCTTTCACACTCCTAATCCACCTAATTTGTGTTACACAGAGGAAGTGTAACATGAATGAGCATTGTGCCATCACTGCAAGGAACGTTAACCTGTACTACCATCTTACACCTTGGAATCACCAATAGAGTGATTAAAGCCACAAATCTCCACTACCTATTTCACATCACCCAAAAAAAATAATAAATCAGTATAACACAGTAGGAAAGGTAAACAAACATCTTTGAGTCAGGTTTTACAAACCAAACATTTAAGAGAGATGCATAAAGCCAATACTTTTTATTGACTTTAATTCTCTTTTGGGTCACAGGAACCCATTCACTATTGTACTGCTGTGATCCAAAGTCAGCATATAACGGGCTACTTCCCACTATATGCTGCACAGTGCCGCACCACAGCTTGGAAGGATCCCGATATGATTGTCAGGATCCACCCCACTACCTGATTGATAGCTGATTCTGTCTCTCTAGAGCCAAAGCCAGCTGTGCCCACCCCTCCCCTGTCTGTCCCTCCAATGAATGCTGGAAAAACAGAGAGAGAGGAGGAAAAATCCCTGCAGGAAGTCATGAGTGACAGTCCCCACTCTCTGCAGGGAGAGAAGCTGTGAGCTAAGTGATCAGCAGCTACATGGGTCTCTCAGCTTTCGGTTTATAGAGTCGGCATGTGACTGATGGAGAGAGAGAGAGAGGGAGGGAGAGGGAGAGGGAGAGAGGTAACTATATTCTTAAAAGTATGAGGTCGCACATTAAAACCTGTCAGCTACAGCTACTGAGTTCTGTAAACAATTTTCTTTCGAGCAGAAGAAGGCAAGGAGAAACTATAAAACATTTGAAACCAAGCCTATGACTTAACCTGGTGGGGAAAATGGCAATGCAGAATACTAATATATAATAATTTTTTATCTACCCAACTAAAATATTTTTTTCCATTTTCTATTTTGTAGTCCCGGCCATAATAAAGAAAGATAAAATAAATATTCAAAACCACCAGTCTTTTTTAAAGAAAACCTTTCCTGAAAAACATATGGAAGCTGCCACTGCCGACGTTACCTTCTGCAACTGTTACTTGATTGGCTGTAATGTTGACAATACTTTGAGTCGCTGCCTGACAAAAGCATACAGATAAGGACTTCTAATATTACTTTGACTTCTCTCATCTGCATGCTTGTTCTGATACACAGACTCAAAAAAGTACTGAAAACTAAAGGCTCGCCATAACAGCCATAATGGCAGCCCCCAAGTTTATTTTAGGAAAGGTTTACGTTCAAGTGAACCCTCAGTATACCAATTTGAATAGCTACTTCATTGTTCACCAACTGCATTCCAATTACATGATATAAACACTTCAGGGATGAATTACAAAAAGTTAACCAATTTGCAGTCATGTATTTCATAGCATACATTATAACATTTAGGAGGACATAGAGCAGTGATCCATACACTGAAAAGCAGAAACAATGTTCAGCTAAAGCACCTAATAATAATAACTCAGCTCATCAGCGATGAGTATTAAATCATTAACAATTAGATTTTAATATCTAGCTCTTTAATGCCACTTTATGTAGCAGTGTCCTATAAATTGAAAGAGTTGCATCACTAATGCAGTATATTCATTATTAGCAAATTAAAATTAGCGCAGTAGTAATGGGTTGTGGTCCACAAAGCTGAGTATGGCAAATAAACGTAACCCTAAGCTTAAGTCCAACTTCTCCCTAAGCTTAAACATTAACGTTACCTTAACGCTGAACTCCAACAGCTAAAGCTGTATTGTGTCCATCCAGCCCTGAGATCTACACAGTTCTGCTTTCCCTGTCTGGCAGAGCAGGAGATCTTATTTTGCGCTGCTTGCAGGTCTTGTCCCTCTTCCAGCCTGTGACTGGACCATAAAAAAGGAGAAGCAGAGTCTGAAGAGCTCATTACCTTGTTAGCACATGAGTACTGCAGTGCAACCGACAGGCTCTCTTTGCTGCTTCTCCTTTCCCCTGTGTGAACTGTGTTTTACAGGGATCGCAGGAGGCCGATACCTAGTAAAATTCAGGTACTCAAACTGCTTGCATTTAATGATGTAATACTGAATACAGAACTGAATTCTTTTGTGTCTTTTATATCTGTATGGAGTTCAGCTTTAACCCCCTCACCATTACCATTTGTACTATTATAACAGTAAAAAATAACCAATTCAACTGAACTGCTACCGATATATTTCACACGAGAGCTCAAACACAGAGCTGATTTTACCTAAAACATTATGCTAAAATTTTTGCATTTAATACAATTGTTCTCAGACTGGTGACATTTTTCTTGGCTATGTTTGCTAGTCTATGAAGGTACTGCTTTATGAATACATAACGGAAGAGTATACGCAATCTGGTGGTCATCTTAATGTAACCCATGGACTGGACATATCTGCATCTATGGACTCCAGTAGCCATTTTGGAAAGAACTAGGGATGCACCGATACCAGTATAGGTGGCAATACCGAATATTTGGGCTCCTACTCACCCAAAGGATCCAATACTTACCCCCGATACCGGACCTTCTGGTAAGAGGGAGATTTCCTCTGAGCGGCAGTGATGCGTGGGAACATGGAGCCGGCTTCCCGGTCAATCAGAAAGTCAGGCAGCAGGTAATGCCTTGCCGCTTGGCGTCCTGATTGCCCGGGAAGCTGGTTCCATGCTGTTTGGCTGGTGAAGCCAGCATCCCAGCCAATCAGCATTGAGCCGGCCACACAGCATGGAGCCGACTTCCCAGCCAATCAGGAAGCAGGTGGTGTGTCATTACCCGCCGCCCGCCTTTCTGATTGGCCGGGAAGCTGATTCCATGTTGTTTAGTCGGCTCGATGCGGTTTGGCTGGGAAGGCGGCTTCCCAGCCAATCAGCATCAAGACGGCCAAACAGCATGGAGTCGGCTTCCCAATCAGAAAGCAGGATGGCGGGTAATGACACGCCGCCCCGCTTCCCGATTAGCCGGCTCCATGCTAGCGAAGTAACGGTATCGGTACTAGGTATCAGCGAGTACCAAAAGATACATATCGGTTCGCGCACTCTATACTGAAAACTGGTATCTGTGGATCTCTAGAAAGGACAATCTTCTAAGTTAATCATCGTTTTTGTGCTTATTTATGAGTGTTTTCATCTAGCTTTTTTATCTGTTTTGCACGTGTTAGAATGCGTTCCAACGCCCTCACGTGAAGACACAAATTTAGCTGGCAGATTGAGAATCACTGCAGTCAATGGACAAACGCTAGTAAAAACATACACAGAAATGTGCACAGGGATTGTGTTGAGCGTTTCCTGGCATTTCCACAGAAGTGTATGGGGAAAACAGAGTTACAAACTGCCAAAAGAAGCATACTTATTTCTGCATTGTATTTTGCTGCTAGCATTTAACTGCTCGGGTGTAAATGGGGGCCATTGAAAATCATGGGATTTCTCGTGTTAGGTGTTTTAAAGCCTAGGTGTGAAGGGGGACTAACAGAAAAAATAATAGACACAAATGCCATAAGGCCTACCGTATCTGATGAATCTTTAGGGTGGAACCTTTGTAGCTCATAGCCACAGAACCAAACATCATTTCTCCAAGCATATTGGCATCCGAAGAACATCGAGATCCCTATAAATTGAAGGTGAAGTAGTACAGGTTTTTTTTACATTTCACAAAAGTACTATAGCAAGCTGTGTTATACAAATAAATTGTATTTTTGCAACCTAGCATTCCTCAAGTCTAAACACTTCTTAAATATGTTATTTTTTCTTGATCACTCTCTACTTCCTACTTACGTTCTACCCTCTAAATTTGGAAGGTATTAAAGTGACACTAAACTCAGGAGTTCCAGTACCATAACTATTAACAAAATGTATCTTATTTGTGTATCACAGGGCTGTATCTTATTTGTGTATCCCTCAGCTGTAGATCCTCAAATCATCTCTGAACTGGTGCTGACACTGTTCTTCCTTCTGGAGGGTGGCTACTTTTATTCCCCATGGTCCCTGTGTGTGTTGTAAAGTAGCCACCACTGCAAAATCACTCCAGTGATGGACTACAATCTCACATTTAATTAACTAATTTGTATTGAGATTGTAGTCTGTCACGGGAGTGAGCTTGAAGCAGTGGCTACTTTACAGGACAGTGTCAGCACCAATTCAGAGATGATTTGAGGATCTACAGCTGAGTAATACACAAATAAGATACATTTTTGTTAATAGTTACGGTACTTGAATGCATTTTTAAGGTTTAACTGCTAAATTTATTACCACTTTAAACTTTATGATCATATATCATTTGTGGTAGAATAGCTTGTCCTTGATGGACATTTTTCAGGAATTGTAGACACACCTGATTCTTTGTGTAGATGTGTTGTCCAATGCCAAATAAGCAGAATTTAATCAAGCAAACACATAGCATTTAACAGAACACTTTACTGATCCAAATACAGTGAATACAATGTAATTGACTGTTACGAACTACTGCACTGAGCAAATCACTGAGTTTACACTTCCTTCTAACTAATAAACATGGTAGCCCGACATCTTGATTGGTTACAGTTAAGGTTTCTTTCTCCCCACAACACAAATACATAAAGAATAAGCAAATTAGCAGAGCTTCCAGCCACTACTTGATATGCAACAAATGACATGTTTACTGCCTTGGGCTAACTAGAAAAAACTGTACAGATTGATTGTGGTTTGCAAATCACCACTCACACGTCGTATTACAATATTAACTCACAGTCTGCTTTAGGCCACAAGCGCATGGCCGTAAAACAAAAAAAAGAAACCCTGAATGCACTACAGTGTTTCACGGTTCACGGGTCAAAACGCAGGGGTATTGTGAGTAAAAATGCACTGCGTTCAGATTTGTAACATACAAAATATCAAAAAGAGTGCATAAATCTTATGCATGTATGTGCGTAAATAGATTCTAAACAAGAAAATTACATTGGAAACAGAACAGGAGGAATTTTACATATGCGTGTTTAGGCTTCTAAAACTAAAATTGTAGAACAGGAGGAATTTTACATATGCGTGTTTAGGCTTCTAAAACTAAAATTGTAATAATTCTACTGATCATTCACGACAGAACTTTTTGGCCAGAAAAAACTTGGGTATATGATTGGTATATTTCTTAAGGTGTGCATGTAGCCTCATGCTGTTTACTGTTCTGCCTATGCTCATTAAATTCACAGTAACAATCTCAAGAGTAGAGAGTAAAGGAAAACTGGTATAACTGGAAGATTTTCTAAAATTCTATACATATGCAGTAAAGACATAAATTTGAACATATTAAATCCAGAAGCCATCAGCCAGAGACACAACACATGCCCTCTGTATAAAGCTGATGAAAAAGAGCATGAAGGTGATGCACACACCAATCAACCAATCAGGTTAGAGAACATAAGACCAAAAAGGTGCCCAGACACTGCTCGATTCTCGTACGAGAATCGTGGGAAATCCCGCGATCATACAAGAATCGAGCAGTGTGAACGAAGACGTGCGACCGTTTCTACTGTACAGTCGCACGTCTTTTGTCTAAGGAGCACGCTAGAAAACCAGCCGAAAATCGTACAATTTTCGGGTGGTTTGAACGGTGCTCGGGAGACAAATGCCGAACGGGCCGGTGTGCGCATGCGCACACTGCCCGTTCAGCATTGCGGTCATCGGAAGCCCGCCCCTCAGGGGGGCGGGCTTGCGATGATCGAGAGTACGATCTGCCTGTCCAAGATGGGGAGATCGTACGTTTTTTTAATCACTTTACAACCATCGCAAGACTAAGGTCTTGCGATGGTTGTACAGTGTATGGCCACCTTAACAGGGTTATTCACAAAAAGGCGAAGGGTTTGGAGAAGGCAGGAGAAGTGAACAATCTAGGCCAAAGTAGCAGATTTGGAAAAATTCTCCAATTCAGCTCACTTTCCAGTTAAGCTATTTTGTCCTAGATTGTTCACTTCTCCTGCCTTCCCCAAACTCTTCACCCTTTTGTGAATAACCCTGTAAATGTCTGAATTGACACCACAGACTGGTTTTGCTTTGTCCAGTTTTTTTTATATAGTACTAAAATGTCCATTATATGTGCCATCCTAACACATTTTCCAACAATTGTCAGAACAACAGACATATAACACAACATATTTCAGTATGTTCCATACTTTCATTTATAAAAGAGAATGACAGGCTACTGCTGAGATCTGGAGCAATTAGAAATAATGCAAACCAATTAAATAAGGAAGAATGTAAAATGTGGATATTAACATATTTAGCATGCTGCCACCAATTACTCCAAAATCAACATTTGCTTCTCATTTCTTTATATCTCATACAATTTCTGTTACGCAAAACAATACACACAGGCTGAATGTAAACTGATCAATAATGCTCATCTCTTTTGTTTACAATTCATAGCTAGGACAGTATATACATATTAAAGTGACTGTCATTAAAAAAGTATGGGGGCTGCTATTGATGGTTCCTTCTGAAAGTGCTCTGAAAGTGCTTGGTTGCCTGGCAAGCACTTTTGAGTAATAGACCTGCCACAATCAATCAGTTGGCTGCCAAGAATTGCAAACCCCGTCACATACATTTGCGAACCGACAGGCAGCCTGACTTGTGCCTAATCTTGTTGCTAAATTGCTTAATACATGCACTCCATATGACCAAACACCAGTTCATACATGAGATACTGCATCTGTTGCACCTTTTCCATCTGACCATAGAAAATCTGCAGATAATTGTAAAGTGTATGGCCAGCTCTACACTGTAGTAATAGAGAGACAGACTGTTCTCATTTAGCGGTAATTAGTCACAAAGCAAAAAGGCTGTTTGAAGGCTTTGATGGATGCAGCCGCCATTCGTTGACTCGTGCAACACATTGCAGTCCCAGAGCAGTAAATAAGTTTCACTGGTATGCAGCACATGAGTCTGGGAAAAATGTTGTTACAGATCGGATCATCTTCCTAAAAACGGCACAATAACCAATCACCAGCTTTATTTAAAATAACACAAACCTGAATTATTACCACGAGATAGCTTTGGGGGTTACTATTTTAGGGACGCTGTAATAAGATGCCTGTGATCTCTGTGAGTTCGCTTGACGGGAAGAATATTTATCTGCGTCAGATGACTGCCTTCTCCTCTGGCCAAAATCCCTTCTCTTATGTAAAATGTAACTCAAGCCAAGTGAGGAGATCCCAAACCAAGAGCCAGAGGAACAACTCAGCATTTAACAGTCACATGTGCTTGTAATTTTAACTCCTTGCTTGCTGTAAGCTTGAAAATACCAAATATACTTGGAAAGCCTGCCAAAGTCAGCCTCCCATTGTTGATAATGAGTGTCATACTAATGCTTGAAGGTACAGCTTGTTTAACAACATTCAAACTGTAAACCCCCTCCCCCCCAAAAAAACAAATCTGCTAAAACGTATATCCATCTGGAGTCCTCTCCCTCCTAAAATCACCTCCTCCTTACCATGGGTTTCTTATGACATTTGCACTGACAGCCAGATTATAGCTAACATACGGCAACTTAGTATACAGATATGTCTGTGAAGATTCTCATTTATCAAGGTCATGATATAGCTAGTACGTAGTTAGTCACATTTAACTGGACTTGTTCTGTAATGCTGAAGATGTTTTATAGCCTCCCCAGGCCACTTCTTCAACTCTGATGAGTGTCAGGAAAATACACAGCACTTATAACCACTCAGGTAACACATACACCTTAAATCAATTAACTTATAAAAGGCAAATGTTGATAGTCCAAACTGGGTGCTATTGGAACTTTGCAACAACGGGATGAGACGGTAACAACAACAACAACAACAACGTGACTAAAGAGCTAGAACACACACACACACACACATCTCAGGAGTGTTTTAAAAGTTTGCGGCTACCCAGACTGGGCTTTTGTTAAACATCCACAAGGTCAAGCAAAAACACAGGACCATCAATCAGAGGGGAGAATCAGAACACGCTGAGAAATATAGTCATCCCATATATAGCTGGAGTGTTGAAATAACTCAGAAGGATCTTTAACATTGCATCCTTGTGTTTTTGACTGCGCAATACACTAACACAGAAGCTTGTACAGCCAAAGACCCAACACCCAAACACAAGCAAAGTGACTTGTGTTGCGAGGTATGAAAGACCTGCAAATGGGGGGGGGGATAAAACAACCTCAATAAAACACATGGACCAACATAGGACAAATTCTACAGGTCAAGACAGATATTCTCCTGTACCCTGGAAAAGGGACATTCTTTCGAAGACAGGAATGTGCACATTTTGGACAGAGGACAACTGGTTTGCACGAAAGCTGCCATTTGCATCAACCATCCCTGAACAGTGGTGGGGACCTTCCCACATATATATTTGTTTTAACATCTCCACTCCAATGTTTTCATAATTCAAACCTTCAACCATTTCATTCTAAGATTTAACACCTATAGAGTCTTCCGGACACCAAAGATGGGATTATGTAACTAGAACAGGTTGGTTCCACAACTTTCACATCTCCATTCTTGCACAATATTTCTAGAGATCTCCCTTTTATATAGCAAATCTCCACTTTTCGTGTTCAGGTCCCCTTTAAAGGGCAACAGATTCCTTTCCTTGGTGATAACTTTTTATAAGGGAGCCTTACGTTATTGTAATTATTCATGAGGTTATATATTATATATTAAACCGTACCATTTATACCAAGGTTTTATTGCTGCTTGAAGAACAAAATGAGCTACCTGGTATTTGGGGCATTGTTCTTTTGTGTCAGAAGCCAGAGAGTTAGCTGAACTATCTAAAGAAGTAGAGCTGTCTCCTCCCGGTCTGAGCTGGCAACACTTCCCGAACACCCGCACTGGAGCATCACTCACAAGTTTCTGTGGAAACAGAATGGAAAAACAAATGTTATTGTCACACTTCTGAAGATCTTTGCACAGAATGAAACAAGATATGCAAACATTTTCATCTTCCAGAGCCAACTACAGACCAGTATACACTAGCTCTATAGAGGCCTAAGCAGCTGCATAACTATTTTCTAGCATGGTCTCGTGCCTCTTGTATCTCCTGATCTCAAACATATTTATAGTATTAAATGGAGGAGGATGAGCATTAGGGGTTTCATCACATGATGTGTTAGCAACAGGGACAATGGGAGATATTTATAAATCTTACTGTCTAATCATAACAATAAAAACAAACAAACACACATGATTAAAATCCAACACTTGATTATGAATCTATACAAAAAAAAAAAAATAGGCAAATAAAAATCCAGCGGCATTGCTTCTGTAACTGGACTTACTAAACGACCAAAAACCATACCATAAAAACTATGCAATGCTAATGTAATGCTACATTATGCTATAATATAAATATACTAAAATGTAAATACAACTTCAGGGAAGATTCAACAGCAAATTAGTAAAGCTGCAACAAAATAATTAAAGTTATATCAGGGGGCAAAAAAATCAACACTTATTATTGAATAACCCTAATTGTGACAGGTTCTCATTAAGAAACTTGTAACATTAGAACCGTTTTAACATATCTGTTAACAAGAGACTGTGAGGGCATTTTTGGACTGTCAATCATATGTCTGGTCACTTTGCCAGCTTCTGTATCCATGTGGAATGCCACATTTCAGGGCTTGTTCACACCAGATGCAGTTGTGATGCAGTCCGTTCACTTTGACAGCGACATCAAAATCGCGTAAAAAATGCTTTCCAATGGGATTTCTGGTGCTCTGTTCACACCAGTGCAGTCAGTTCCGATGCAGTCAGAAAAAATCCTGCGTGCCACATATTAGCTACACCTGATCGGAATAGAAAACATAAAAAATGCATGCAAACGCACTGAACTGCACCAGAAAGCCCATTTTGAGCTAAAAAAAAAAAAAAAGCACCAAAATCACGTAAAAACACGGTAAAACGCATCACACAAGCAGCTGCTCAGATGCACGCATTTCTGATGCAGTTATGGTGTGAACTAGCCCTCAAGTATGAACCTGGTACCAGGCTGCAGAACTATCTGCTACATTCCATGTCATTGCTGCCTATCAAAGAGCAATCCTATTTTTCATCCATTCCCTTCATGGCTGCTCGGCAATAAATTGACGCATGTACACTGTAAAACTTGCAATCTTCAGTGGCATTTTTCTACTCAATCCACATATCTGGATGGAAATTCCAGTTGTACGATAACCTTGTCAATTTTTGTATGCCTTCATTGTGTGATTGGATCCCTTGATTCATATTTAGACATGAGGCATGTAGACCACAGATTTTGCCATACTCCTGTTGATCACTGTGCTTCCCAGTGGACACATATATGGCTCCCCTTAGACTTTGTAAGCTTCAACTTGGCAATATAAAATCTAAATCTACAGTAAGGTAGCTACCAGCCTGTTAAATACATGAATGGTGATGCTCAAATAATCTGACATTTCACATAATATTTTTGTTCTTTCAAGGAAACGCCAACACTATTTAGCTCACACTTCACCCACATAGCCAGCATCTATTTCTGGAACCTATCAGAATACTGAATAATGTTTCTGAAGCTGGCATAGGCCAAGAAACCCTGTCCACTATGGGCATGTTTAGTTGTGAGCGGTAGTCTCATATTTTGGTGCTAGGTATCGGTGTTTGTTTTTAACACATTTTTTGGTCACTCAATATAATCCGATACTGTAGAACATTTTATGACTTGTAAAAAATAGAATGCTTCCACATGGTCAATACAAAGCATAAGGTTCTGACAGTCTAGCATGAACAAATCAACAAAAGGAAGCCTTGCCAAATAATACTTTCATAGCAAAAATTTGCCCATTCCAGAACAGGCAAGGTTGGAGATGTAAAATGGAAGCTAGTTAGAACAATGTATATTTAGGCCAATAGGGAGGGCACACATCACAACAGCAATAAGGGGTTGGGGCAAATTTGCACAGCAATGGGATGGGGTGCATCACTGTGGTGATGGGATGGAGTGAGGGACCACAAACACACGGTACGGAAGGTGTCATTCATTCACCCACTGGATGCTTAATCTACTCTTCCTACTCCTGCCCCTCATACATGGTGAACCTTCTGCTCACAACCAATGTGGTCTAGCTGAGTGGAGGCTTTGTCTTGCTTTCCTATGGAGGATTTCAGGTAGGCATGGTAGCGACAGCATGAGGGTGTTGGAAAACACAGTGGTGAGAAGGGGGCATAATACATGGTTGTGAGAGCAGTGAAGGGGATCTTTGCAGGCAGGCTTGGGGAGGGGGTAATTCAACCACGATTGCTCATTTAAACTGAACAAACCTATAACCAACTAAGATAATGCTCCTCTTATATTTTCATTATGAACATTCAAACTGAAACTAAGGAAGGAAACAAAAACACATTTTAATTTCCTGTGTGTGGTCATTTAGATTTCTTGTAGCCTCCTTCTCACAAATGGCTCACATGAAAGGCTGACACTCATACAGCCTATTGTCAAAAGGAGTGTCCAAAATTGTCTGCCTCCAATCCTGTTCATTTCACTGCTTTTTGTCCCCAACTTGCTACATAATACAGTTTAGAATAAAGGACACTCCAGTTTAATAAATACGTTGTTAAAATGTAAAAACCTCTAAAAGTGAAAAACCTTATAGATTTTCTAATATTACCCATGCAAAGTATCTTTGTTTCCCAATGTTTAGTACATGTTACTCAGCTGGATGATGAACTGTGTGTGTTGTATAATTAGCTGTGATTGTGGGACAGGTGGTGGCTATTCAATGCTACAAAGTCTGGACACCACTTGGCTTCAGATCTGAGGATTAAATACCCAAACACTGCAAAGTTTATTTATTTCCAAGTCCTTTGAATTCCACATAAAGTTTATTTTATAGGATGGTATGCTAAATATGGCTGTGGCACCGCCAGCCAATAACAAGTCATAAATCGTCCACTAGCAATTGTCTGCAGGGAACCAACTTGTGAGCAGCTTGCCGACAATGGCTGTAAACAGAAAATGAATCTAATATTCAGAAATATTACTGAATGAGAGTTGTAACTGAAAGTCAACACCCTATATTTGGATAACAATTGACATAGCAAATTAGGTGGTGGACAAATACAGCAAAGTAAAAACACTGATCAAGTATTTTTAAAAATTGTCATCAAGGCCTCATTCACACTGCCCTACAATACGCGGCGTCTATGCGCATACGCGAGCATAGTCCCATATGCAGCATATGCAAATAAATGGCTCCATACACATAGCTGCTTATGGAGCCGTATATTTGTGTAGCGCAAAAATGGAATGGAACCGAGATGCGTCCGGGCAGCGTATTTCTGCATATTTTACGCGTACACGCACATACAGTTCATTCAAATTTCTATTTTGAATGATGCATTCTGGGATTGCATATAGAGCACGCATATACGCAATATACGATTTTGCTCTTGCCTGGTGTGCGAATGAGGCCTAAGTATGAACCTTGTACTTAAAAGAAAGTTGTCATGAGAGACGTATAGAGGTTGCCATTAGTAAATTTCGTAAATGTTGGTTCCCTGGCATTTAAAAAAAAGTAACCCTGCATTAGACGTGATGATGTCAGCAGGGCTTAAACTGCCCTAGCAGAGGGGGAGAAGAGGCTGCAGAGACTAGTCTAGCAACCAGGTGGTATTGAGAATCAGTATCACTGGAAGACTGGAAGAAAAAAAAATGCCCAGCACATTGTGTACGGGCCCCGAGTTCTCTCTTTCTCATCCTATTTTAGTCGTTTTCATTTACAAGGACCCAAATTTGGCTTATGAATCAGATGTGGGCAACAGTAAAATAAAAATATGCGCTGCTTAAATGGTGATAAATGAAGCCTTCACTTTTCAGTGCAGTGTGAGGCTGATTTCCAGCTAGGAGAGGAATTTAATACAGTGTAATGAGAAATCCAGGATAGCTGTTATGACATTCGCTCATCTCACATGCACATGTATGACTCATATTCTCATGTGACTCCACAAATCAATGTACATTCCTACGCTCCAAAACACAGCCACATCCTTGTGGAATATTTGGATGGATGCCCATCAAAGTCTATTTGGTTTCTATACTTTCCTTTTAAAGTGAACAGATTACTTTAACTTATGTTCTCCTTATTCCTGCAGCTCAGTTTGGCTGCCTGGAGTGAACAGAGGATATGTACATCCAACCCAAAGTGGCAATGAAGATGTTCGAGTAGCCAAACCAGAGCCGTCGTGTGTTAGGAAGGGGAGTATCATGTGCTCCATACCTGGAAGTTCCAAATTCTTGAACCCGGATGTCGCATTGAATGATGTAGACTAGGAAGGGAAAGCACATAAGAGATGGTGGTGGTGGGGCCCCAATTGAGGTATATGTCCAGGAAAAAATATTATTTAGATTAGGATAAAGTGAGGAAGGATTAGGACTACTGTTTTATTTTTACTGCCATCTTTGGGTTCCATTCGAAGAATTTACCCTCACTCACTCCCACAGTGACAATGGTTACACAAAACAGGAAGTGAAAGAAAATTTACAACAGGGACACATGACAGCAATAACACAAGTCAGGGGTTCTACCCTTTACCTCAGGGGTAGCAAACCTCCGGCCCTCCAGCTGTGGTGGAACTACATATCCCATGAGGCATTGCAAGATTCTCACAGCCACAGATATGACTCCCGAAGAGAGATGCATCATGGGATTTGTAGTTTCACCACAGCTGGAGGGCCGGAGGTTTGCTACCACTGCTTTACCTGCTCTAAGAAAAGGAAAAAAAAATATGTTTTTTCTTCTCCGTGTTGCGGTTGAACGTTTTTCCTCGCTTCCTCCCTGGTGGAGCCTTGTCACCCATACAGTAAGTGAAGGTAATTCTAATGAAGCCCTCAATAG